TTACTGAGAATGTTTCGCCACTATTAGTAAACAAACCTCAGGAGTCATCGAGTAGACGTATCGGACTACCGTTTCCGAAGTAAGGCAAGCAAGCGCGGTGAAACGCGACGAAAAACACGAATACAACGCATCCCTCAAGGCGCGGAGGGGAGAGCGGAGGAGCAAGTTGAAGCAACCTAATGGCTGCCGCGTCACGTGATTCCAAGATGGTAGCGCCCATGCGGAGGAGGATGAAAAGGTCTATACATGGAGAGTCTCGATTCGGATCGACCATCTCAAACCACCCCGTCCCAGCGGATCGGATTGGATCCGATCCGATCCGAGTTGTTTACATGGACCGATTCGATTCGTTAACTGGATCCGATGCGCTGCAGTCGCATCCATGGCTACGTTTACATGGATGCGACTGCAGCGCATCGGATCCAGGTAACGAATCGAATCGGTCCATGTAAACAACTCGGATCGGATCGGATCGGATCCAATCCGATCCGCTGGGACGGGGTGGTTTGAGATGGTCAATCCGAATCGAGACTCTCCATGTATACGCTAGCGGATCGAATAGAGTGCTCGAGCGAGGGATTACGGGAGCTTTGCTTCGCCTGCCGCTAGGCAAACCGGTCACCTCGAAAACAATCTGAAGGTCACGAGGTTTGCGTTGTGATCCTTCGACATGAGGTGCCGCTGCTGGTCGATCCGAATCCATGTAAACTTAGTGGTTGAAGTCGATCCGATTTGCTAACTGGATCCGATGCGCTGCTGTCGCATCCATGTAAACGTAGCCCATGTAAACGTAGCCACTGACTGATTGCATGACTGCTGCCGACCACGCAGGGGAAATACAGTGTAGAAACGATGCGGTTGCCACGGAGGCGCACATATGCGCAAAGTGGAGCAGTTCGTCGGGGCGCGCTGGGCCGCGCAGGGGTTCTAACGTGGAAACTTGGTTTAAAATTCGGCAAGAAATCTGGCGGCCGCGATTGACCAAGGCGCGGCGCTTGACCTTGGCAACGTCCAATCACGACGGTCGAATTCATCGTAGACGTCTTCGTCAACCCTAAGCTGATACTGCAGGCGAATTCTCGTTTGAACGGGAATGCGCCTCTCTTTCCCACGTCATCACGCTCCCGGCCATACCCACGCGCGGACGCGCGGAGAGCTGGATCAGTTGATAGGAAGGAGGCGGCTGATTGGCCCTACGGGCACGTGGCTCCCGCGGTAGTCTCAGACTCTGAGCGGAGAATAGACGCTTTCAGCGAGTCAGTTACTCGAGCTGCCACCAGTCGGCGCGCCCTTCGCGCGCTTTCCGGGCCGCCATAGCCGACCTTCAGTTCCTCGCCGTTGCTCCGCGTTGTGTGCTGCACAGGCCACTACCGGAGCTTCGTTTTCGTGTTTTTTTACGTTCCGCGTTGAAATCTTGTATTTTCTATAGGTCTTTTCTATACTAAGGACTTACATTTAAAAATTTCATATTTATATTTCGACATAGCTCTTGTATTTTCTTAGTTATGGAGTGGAATCGGACAGCGAATGGGTCGACGATACAAGATTATGAGGCTTCAATGACCATGTAAGTTCATCTCATTCTTACGTTTTGGTCGCTAATAAAGGGAAGTCAACAGTATTACGACATATGTAAATTACAACTGACGCAGTGAGGCTATCGCAGTCGTGCTTCTCGCTGCATGCGCACGCTCGTTTCTGTAAAGCCGACCCGCATATAAGCGATTTAGCGTGCGACGAGACGAGCAGCGGAGATTTTTCACTGTCGCCCGTCGCATTGCTCGGTTTTAAGATTTCTAGAAAACGTCGCTCACCGTCTTGGTCGCTTGCTCCGTCGCTTCCATGCGGTTTGCTTCGTCGCGCGACTGACTGAGCGACAGCGAAGCGGGTAGCCGTCGCTTATCTGGTCGCTCGCCAAATCGCTTAAATGCGGTTTATACTCAATTAATTCCCATTCACACAGCACTGAAGCATTGGCGCCTCGATATTAAGTATAAACCGCATGCAAGCGATTCGGCGAGCAACGAGCCACATCGACGGTGACCCGCTTCGCTGTCGCTCGGGCAGTCGCGCGTCGAGGCAAACCGCATGGAAGCGACGGGAGCAAGCGACCAAGACGGTGAGCGACGTTTTCTAGAAACCCAAAAAACCGAGCGATGCAACAGGCGACAGTGAGAAATCTGTCGCTGACTCTCGTCGTTGTCGCCGTCGCTCGTTTCGTCGCACGCTAAATCGCTTACGTGCGGGTCGGCTTTGCAGAAACGAGCGTGCGCATGCAGCGAGAAGCACGACTGCAATAGCCTCACTGCGTCAGTTGAAATTTGCATATGTCGCAATGGTGTTGACTGCCCTTTATTAGCGACAAAAACGTTAGAATGGGATGAACTTACATCGTCTCTAAAGCCATGATCTTGTATCGTCGATCCATTCGCTGTCCGATTCCATTCCATAAATAAGAAAATACAAGAGATAATGTTGACATATAGATACCAAATAATTAAATGAAAGCTCGAAATATCGAAAATACCTAAAGAAAACACACGATTTCAACGCGGGACGTAAAAAAACGCGAAAACAAAGCTCCGGTAGTGGCCGGTGCAGCACACAACGCGGAGGGACGGCGAGAAACTGAAGGGCGGCTACGGCGGCAGGGTCACGTGACGCCAAGATGGCGGCGCCCATGAAATGTTGCCTGAAAGGGTCTATACATGCCTTGCACCTACGTCATTAAAATTGCATGCTGGGAGGGCTTTCGCCATTACGCAGTACACAATCGTCATCGCTGCATAGGAAGTTCCCTGGGGTTGCCGTCAGTTTGCCTCGCTGAGCGAAGGTTTCGCTACGTAGAATGGTTGCATGTGCGGTTATTCATTGTGCAAACAGGATTAAGAGCAACAAGCGCCGTGATCGTAACGCCGTCAGTGATGCGAGATGTTTCAAACTACCAAAGGTGATCTCCGCTCAGTGTCGGCAGACACACGAACTGTCAAAGAAGCGAAGGAGTATGTGGTTTGCGAAGATTAACAGGGCCGACCTGGTCGCGAACGTGAACACACAGGTGTGCAGCGAGCACTTTGTTACAGGTAAGAAATGCTTCTTGTCGTCCTCCGTTTTCGGGACGCGTTCACCCGGTTGCTGTCGCAAAATTGAATGTAAAACTCGGCGCAGCATTGTCTGCTGCGCCGAGTTTCGCGGACGTGAGCGCGTCAGCGAATGGCGTTTTTTCTTTGTTTTACAGGAGCTCCTTCTAAGTTGTTCGATGACACGAACCCTGACTTGGCGCCGAGTTTGAAGCTCGGTTACACGGACGAAATAGATCGCTCAGCCCCGAGTCGCAGCGCTCGAGGCTGAGTGAGTTACGTTAGGGAAAAAGGCGGCGTCAAATGTCGTGTCCACGCCGACGCGAAGTTCCACCTTCTTCGCGTATCTCGCTCTCGTAGGCCCAACGAGCTCGTCCAAGTTATCTCCACAGAGCGGCAACGTCCGCTCCTCCGGCGACGGTATATTTAGCCCGTAGGCGCTGGTAACAGTAGATTAAAACGATTAGTTTACAAATTGTGCAAAAAACAAGAAACACTTTCACAAAAAAAAAAAAAAAAAAAACGCTACGCTTTTAAACTGCGTAAACACGTCACAGTCGGACGAACCACGCCGTCGACTACGCTTTGTAGGTTCTCGGTCCTCCGGTGGTACGGAGCAATGGCGATCGGGGGCGGGGCATCGCGGCGTGACGCCGGGCGCAAAGCATGTATACACCTTTCAAAAAAAAAAAAAAAAAAAAGCGCTCCTGGGCCGCCGTTTTGTGGCCGATGACGATACAACTGGTGCATTCGAAGTTTTCCGGCCTGACTTGAAAGTTTCCCCTTGATTTTTCTTGTGCATGCTGCATATACCCTTTTTGCGTTCTTTTCCACCCAGAGAAATAAAGCTGGTAAGTGCCTGCCATTCAAGCGCTTCCTCTCAGTATTCTCGGGAAATAAAGGAGGGGAAGGGCGTCGAACGACACGATTTTGCCAACAATGACAACTGTTCTCCTCCCCCCCCCCCCTTTCCCCCTCCCCCCCTCCCAGAGATAATCCGAGTAGGGTCCTTCCTTCTCGGCCTCGCCAAAAATAATTGTTCGGGTTGGGGTGGGGAACGGGTCAGTCGCGTCAGTTCCTTTGCCTTAATGCTAATGTGAAAAAAAAACAAAAAAAAAAACCACTACCCAAAACGTGCCCCAAAACGAAGTCCTCTTGGATTCGGTTCGATCGTCAAGATGTGACTGTCGTCGACAGGGTAGTGCCGTGCCATTTTAGGTCTTTCTCAAATAAATCCTTTCGGATAACGCTATACCGTGTGGTACCTACAATATATCGTTCAAATATTAACAATTGGTAAATTACATGTCCGAGTCCTGTCCATAACACGTTATTCGTGCACGTAAAATACGCACGCTTTTCGGCTATCTTCTGTTGTCAATTATTTTCGACAGCTAAGCGCATTGTCCTTTGACACGCGGCTGAGCGGGCGGCGCCGTCAAAACTTATTGTAAAATAAAACAAACATTCGTTCTGTTGAGTGCATACGCAACATAAATAGTTTAGAGTTCTTGTTTGTTTCCAACGCGGTACAATGCTTTCTCAATGTCTTAAAAAAAATACACAACTAAAAACGAAAAAAAGAACTTAAAAAAAAAAAAAAGGAAACCGCGAGAAGACAGATTTTTAGCCGCCAGCAGTGTTTGAAATTGCGCCTACGCAGGTTGCGCCCTTCGAAATCACAGTCCACTCGGTTAGGTTTAGCAAGGACGCCGGTGGGAGACTAGCCTCAACCCCAGTGACAGGGCTGTAAAAAGGGCCTCTTGTCCATGGGGTCGAGTGTTTCTCGCTGGACCGTAAACACGGTCGTTCGGGCGCTTCTCGGCGCAGCGTGACATGACGCAGTGGCCGACGAACGTCGGCCTGCGCCGGCGCGCGTTCCGCTCGTCGGCGTTAGAGTATAAACAGCCCTTAACTTACCGGTCTTCATACGGCAGGTCACCCGAACGGCCTCCCATGCACTTTCTTTCCGGTTCGAGTATCTATATTCTAGGCAACTCGAGTCGTATAGACAGGGATGATCTCTAACTTCCTCGATGAGGCGTTCGGCCTCCTTGGTGGAGAGGTCACTGTCTGCATCCCGCCCTTGCGCCATCTTGCTTTCCTGCTCGCTCCGGCACATTGTCGCGCTTGGCGGGTGCGCGCGCGAGGGCTACTGGGATAGCAACCGTCGCCGAGGCGCGATCGTCGACGTTGCGAACGAGCGGACTCTACTCCGCCCTGAGCTACGCCGACGCGCGCTGGGCTATGCTGCGCCTTCGCCACGTCGCCTTGCGCATGACGACGGAGTATAGACTCCCGTTCGCAGCCAGTGTCGGCCAACGCGATGCGGCGTGTGCATTTGACAACGTTACGAAGGGCTATAAACAACCCTTTAGAAAAAAAACGAAAAAAAAAAAAAAAAACGCAAGAATTTCATTCAAAAACCGAACGCGAACGAGGTTGAGAAAGGTGCGGCACTGCTGCCGCCATCTGGTGAAGGCTGGTGCAAGTAACGGAGTCAGTAGTTCCAGAAGGTTCCAACAGGTTCATAAACGCGCTAAAATTCAATTGGAGTAAAAAAAAAACCTCTGCAAGAAAATAAAGTTATCGGGTTTACGCTGCACCTTTTCCACACACACACAAAAGAAAAAAAAAAAAAAAAGAAAGAAAGGAAACACAATTAACGAAAGAATAATTGACAGTTGCTACGGAAAAAACCGGCGGGACAAAACATGCTGCCTAGATGTCGCGGGACGCGGCACTGCTGTCGCCATCTGGTGAAGACTGGTGAAAATAACGACGGTTTGTACTTCCAAAAGCGTCCAACAGGCTCATACGCGCGGTAAACTTGAATTGGATTAGAAAAGGAAGACAGAATAAAAGTTATCGGGCTTAAGGCCACACCATTCACGCACACACAGACGAACCCCCGAGAAAAAAAAAACGAAAGCCACAAGCAAATATTATTTCTACCCTACATTTGGGGGATCGGTGGCCGAGTGGTTTAGCGCACACCAGCTCGGAGCACGTGGAGCGAAAGCTCGCGCTGCAGAACCCAGGGATCCTGGGTTCCATCCCCACCTCTGCCCTTTTCGATCTGGATGAGCATCGTACCGGCGTGCGGTCGTGTATCACAACCGCTTGGGGCACGTTAAAGAAACTGGCTGAATTGCTCATTTACAGCTGAGGGACAAGTCGCCAGTTGAGGGAGACTACGTTCAGGCTGTATGAATATACACACACTACAAATTATTTTTTGAGCAGTGGAAAGAGCACCGTCCAAGCAGCGGCAGTACGTTCCCCATAGACCGATCTCACCAGCCAGTTTGACTACGCCACCGCTGCCGCAATGCATCGAGGGAAGTTTAGTCTTTCTGCACGTGCGACAACCTCGCTGGAGCTCTACGCGTGTGGAGCGTGAGGCGGCACAAGCCGTCATGTGCACTGCTGCCTGCCTCCTGCGAACTAAAGTTATGGCGGCGTCACGCATGCGCGGAACGCTCGTGAGATCGGTCTATTGGCCGTGTGAAGCCAAAGGTGTTGAATGGCGCGCTTGGCGCTGGTGTCGAAATCCCGAGGATGCTCGTCCTGCACGCGCTGTGCACTGCTGCCGTGATGTGCCCGCTGAAAATAAAATATAAACAAAAAAGAATGCTTGGCACCGGCTCGCGATTGTCGTATGCGAGCGAGGCGAGGCGGGGTCGCCCTTGTTGGGAGGCGCAGTCGGCTCGGCGTGATGGGGAACAGGGCCGGCTTGCTAGAAGTAATGTCTCAGTTGAGACTGTTCAAAGAAAGCGCTGCCAAGGCTCGGGCGCGCGCGCGTCTGAGACTCGGCTTAAGCTCGAGCGCTAGCCTTGACAGCGCTTTCTTTGAGCAGTCTCAAGTGAGACTCTGCTTCGAGCAAGCCGGCCCAGGTGTATCACTGGAGCTCGTGTTAACCTCCCCGGCCCCCACGCCAAATTTTCATTCAGGTTGGTTTAGCTCACAAACCCGTTTCTCACCACAGTGCCAGACTAAGTTTGTCGGTGCCGCGCCCCTTTGCCTACGTGATTTGCTGTTTTGAAGCGAACAGTGTTTACGTGACTTGTGTATTTTGTTATGTAGCATCTATAGATAGAATGCTAGAAGTTTTGGAGCTACTGCTGAATATACACAAACCACAAGATGTACTCTTAACTGTTTGGAGGCAATTAAGCAAAAACAACGTCAATCGATGAAAAGCATACGTCAGTGTTTACAACGTTAGAATCGCTTAAAAAAGGCGTTACTTCACTATGAATCTTTCAAATCAAAGTGCAGCAGATACAAGTTTCATTGACGGCACTTACTGAGCAGTTGAACAAGTTGGCAGACAGTCATGATGGCATTGAAAAACACTCTCGGAGAAATAATCTTATCTTCTATGGCATTCTCGAGGAGGATAATGAAACTTGGGCAATGTCAGAAAAAAAGGTTCTGCAGCTGTGCGATACTGTGCTCGGCATCAAACTTGATAATTCACATGTGGAACGCGTTCATCGTCTGGGCAGATTCACAGCAGAAAAATACGGGCCAATCATTGTAAATCTTTCCTCGTTTAAAACAAAACAAAATATACTATCCCTGACGTCTTAGCTAAAAGATAGCGAAATATCTATCAGAAACGAATTGTCTGAAAACGTGCGACATGAAAGAAACTAGCTTCTGGAATTGGCCAGGACACATAAAAGTCATTTTCAACTACGCTACAACAAACTAATTATTGGCAACAAAACATTTTACTATGACCACATCGACCAGAGCGTAAAAAAAAAAAAAAAAAACAATAATGAAGCAACCAGTTCAAACTTCCCAGATCGCCCTTAAGAAGACCACAGCTGTGAACGAATTTGATGCAGTCCTCGTAAATTACCCTTGCGAAAAAAAAAAAAAAAAATTAATGCTTTTGCGGCGCTTATCAATGTGACAAGGCCCGGCATTGCATTTGGCTCATAGTCATGGCTTGGCGACTCAATCAGTATTGCAGAAGTTTTTCCACTCGCCTATGCTGCTGATCGACGGGAAAAGGAATGGGCATGGTGGCGGCGTATTCGTGTTGAAGAAACACACAGACAGCGCCCTGTCTGTGTGTTTCTTCGTCCTGGTCGTCTGTTTTTGAGCTGTTCGCACCAAATTTAACAGTGTGTACCACCAACTAGCCCAACCACATGCCTTGTTGATTAATGACAGTCTGCAAAGTACAGCCATGGACATTTCGCGATTTCTGTTCGAATCTGTGTGGTGCAGGGGGGAGTTTCGAAATGGTGAATTCCTTACTGTTGGATCTTTCCACAGACCGCCTGCATCTGGAGACGATTCAATTCTTTGTTTATCAAATGCACTTTCAACAATTTCTTATAAATACCTTGTGCTGGAGGGAGATCAACTATACAAATATTAACTGGGTTCAAGGTTTGCCAAATAGTACAACCTTATCCACGCCTCACAGTACGTTTACTGACTTTGTTTTTAGCGTTTCCTGATACCAACACGTCAAATTTCCTACACGCTTAGACTATAAAACAAACAGCACGCCGGACCGGATCTTTAGGTACGAACTTTCGATTATATGATCTAATTTAGCTCTTACTGGTATCAGTTATCAGATGTAGTTGTTGGAAAAATGATATGCACAAAGGAAATAACAGTACGAACAAGTCGAGAAAAGTTTTTTTCTACGATCGAGGTATAAAAAAACCGCATAACTACTCGGCGGTGGCAGACGAACTCTTTGATTATTTCCCTTATTTTAAAGAATCCAGTCATCACTATGATGTGAAAACACTATGGGATATGTTCAAAACTAAATTGAAAGCTCCAGTTGATATTCATATTACCTCCAAAAAATTTCAGCGATAGAAAACGAGATGCCAAGCCATGGATGAATAGAAAATTACGAACAATCATTAAGAAGAAAAGGTGTGTGTACGTAAATATAGCCGAAATGGAAAACAGAGCTCCCTGTTCCGTCTAAAGGATCAGACAGCGCCTTCCAAAACTAAAGCGTCACACTTTAAAAATAAGTTTATTTCTTCTCTTGATGACAAGTTAAAACATAACCCGAAGGAATTTCGGAGATATGCGAGAAGCTAAAAAAAAAAATTAAAAAAATGATGGGACAGGCATTCCATGTATCACTGATTCAGGACGGTTAGTAGATCGTAATGCTAACAAAGCAAACCTGTTTAATGGCTATTATGAATCCGTATTTTCGCCACCTATAGCGGGTCACCTTCCTCATACTCCCGCACGTCTAAAAGACAGTATGTTGGATATCAAACTTTTTTAGGATGGAATTCTTAATTGAATCAAGAAAATTGAGTACACAAGGCTACTGGGCCTGGAGGACAACCTTGCCGTATATTGAGAGTGTTCCGGTATTTGTTTAGTTTTTTTTTGTTTATTCCATTTGATAGTTCGTTTTCTTGTGGAAAACTGCCAAATGAGTGAAAAACAGAGCACGTTGTTCCAGCTCATAACAGTGATAAAAGAAGAGTGTACAAAACTACAGACTAATTTTTCTTTTTTGTATGTGCTCGAAAGGTTTGGAACATATAATCTGCAGTCGCTTGATAAAACATCTCGACGGAAACAACTTTTTTATTTCTTAACAGCATGGCTTTCGAAATGGTTTATCGTGCGATACTCAGTTGATGGACTTCTATCACGATATTTCTTCTTCTTTCGATAAAGGCGTACAAGTGGACTGCTTTTTTTAAGCCTTTAAAGTGGAGTGGTAGTTCCATCACGACAATGTCCCAGCACACGCTGTCGTATCAGTGCCACAATTTTTGAGCAAAAATGGTACGACACCGCTTCTCCACCTCACGGCCGTATTCACCGGACCTCGTCCCGTATCACTTTTCTCTGTACGCCGGTATGAAAGAAGTCATGAAAGGAAATCGTTTTGTGAATGTGGAACGTCCTTCATATCAGACATTGCAAAAAACGAGGAATGATATTAAAGCGCTTGGGAAAAAAATCCCAACATGCCGCTAGATCCTCAGCAGACGGCGCCGGTATGTAAACTGACTCGAAAAGGTTGCCGCTAAGCGCTGCTAGGCGGAACTCATTTCGGTTACTTTTGTGTCCCCCTTATACTTTTCGTTTTGTTGAAACCTTGGTTCTATGGCCCAGTATCTTGATTGGCGTAAATCATACCCCTTTTTGTGTTATACGTATTTTCAGATATTTTTTAGAATGGTGAACTGACTTTAGTGCTGCATGTCTTGATTAGTTATTATGATTGTAATGCATACACAACATTGATTTCTGGTTAAATGTTACCGGTTTCCATGTAAGTTTATTGCTCTGTTTCATATTCAAAGGTAGCAATAACAAGGTGGGGTCG